GAGTGATCTTTCTGAAATATAAATCTGATTATGCCCTTGAAACACTTTTAGTGATTTCTTCCATCACTTTTATCTTTTTGCTTTCAAATTTTCATTTAAATTCTAGTTAGCATACAGTACAACAGCGGTTTCAGGAGTAGAATGTGGTGGTTCTTCACTTAATATAACACCCAGTTATATATAACTGGGTGTCATCACAATAAGTGGCCTCCTTAATGTCCATCATCCATTTAGCCCAGCCCCTACCTACTTCCCCCATCCACCCTCAGTTTGTTCTCTATCGTTAAGTCTCTTATGGTTTGTTTCCATATGATTTTCACTTGCATGTGGAATTGAAGAAACAAAACAGGTGAACATATGGGAAGGGGAAAAAGAGGGGCGGGGAACAAACCATCACTTTTACATAAAGGCAAAAATCCTTAACATGACCTACAAGTTTCTTCAAGATCTGGTTTCTGCCTGCCTTTCCAATCTCATCTCACCATTCCCCCGCCTTGCTTTCAGCCACACTGGAGATATTATAGCTTTTCAAATGTGTCATATTCCCTTTTGCCTCGTGGCATTTGCATAGGCAGATCCACTTGGAATGCTCAGACTACCCTCACCGCAGTTATCTCCTACTGTCCTTCAAATCCCCACTCAAATGCCCTTTCCTTGGAGGTGCATTCACTTTTTTTAAGGACTTTTTATTTATTCATGAGAGACAGAGAGAGAGAGAGGCAGAGACACAGGCAGAGGGAGAAGCAGGCTCCATGCAGAAAGCCCAATGTGGGACTCCATCCCGGGAGTCCAGGATCGTGCCCTGGGCCCAAGGCAGGCACTTAACCACTGAGCCCCCCAGGGATCCCAAGGTGCATTCACTTTCTTCCCAGTCTAAGTAAGGCAGCTTTTCCAAAATGCTGCACAAATTCAGTCATCATGCATCTCTCTCCCAAACACTTCCTTCTCTTTAGCCAGATCAGTTTCAGATGTAGAATTTCCTGCTCCATACACTCCTGGTTCAGGAACACTTTTCTGTGAAATGTTAGACTTATTATCTCTACCCTAATCTCCATGATATCTGTGACAACATCATGGTGAGAGGTGGATCCTCTCACAAATGTATCCCAGTTCAACATACAGATGGCCAACAGGTACATGAAAAGGTGCTCACATCACTAATCATCACAGAAATGCAAATCAAAACCACAATGAGAAATCACCCCACACTTAGTAGAATGGCTTTTATTCACAAGACTAGAGGTAACAAGTATTGGCTAAGATGTGGAGATGTGCACTGTTGGCGGTAGTGGAAATTGGTGCAGTCACTATGGAAAACAGTATGGAGGTTCCTCAAAAAATTAAAAATACAACTACCTTATGATTCAGCACTTCTATTTCTGGGTATTTATTTGAAGAAAATGAAAACTATCTTGAAAAGATATATGCACCTCCATGTTCATTGCAGCATTATTTACAATAGACAATATATGGAAACAATCTCAGTATCCATCAATGAATGAATGGATAAAGCAAACATGGTATATGTATGCAGTGGAATATTATTTAGCCATGGAAACAAAAAAATTCTACCATTCGTGACAATGTGGATGGACCTTGAGGGTATAAAGCTAAATGAAATGAGTCAGAGAGAGAAAGGCAAATACCATCTGATCTCACTTACAGGTGGAATCTAAAAAAACAAGTTCATAGATACAGAAAACAGATTAGTGGTTCGTGGGGGGCTGAGGGGGTTCCGTGAAATGGTAAAGGAGATCAAAAGGTACACACTTCACGTTATAAAATAAGTCACGGGAATGTAATATACAGCATAGTGACTATAGCTAATAATAGTGTTGCATACTTGAAAGTCACTAAGAGTAAATCTTAAGATTTTTCATCACAAGAAAAAAGTGTTAATGTAACTGTTTGGTAACAAATGGTAACTAGACACATACTGTGGTGATCATTTCACAATATTTACAAATACTGAAACATTGTACATTTGAAACTAATATAAAATGTTACATCATTTATAACCCTCTAAAAATTATTTTAAAAACTACAAATCAGATCGCAGTATTTTAAAGTGCTTTAAACCCCTGATTAGCCTCTCCTCTGCACTTAATATAAATGCAGACTCTTCAGCTTCTAAAACCCTATGTAATCTTATCTTGTACTGTCTCTCTTGCCTCAGCTTGGGCTCTCCTTAACCTCATTATTCCTTTTAGCTCCTAGAACTTGGCAAGACTTCCCTTTCTCAAGGCATTCATTCTTGCTCTTTCTCCTGCCTGGAATGTTTTTCCCCAGGCTGACATTTTGTCCTTCTCAACCTTTAGTCTCTCTTCAAATGTCACCTCCCCAAGAAGGCCTTCCATGACCACATCTAACATGACCCTTTTTCCAGTTCTTCTGTGTCACAGAAATGCATACATATGTAATATATACTCAATGAACAGAATAGACAGCAGATTGGTCACACAATAAGAAAGAATTTGTGAACTATAGAAAAAATTGATACACAGTATCACACAGACACATATAAAGATCAAGCGAAACAGTGCTCAGAGTAGAAAGACCAAAATATCTGGAATTTTATTTATTTTTTAAAAGATTTTATTTATTCATGAGAGACACACAGAGAGGCAGAGACATAGGCAGAGGGAGAAGTAGGCTCCCTGCGGGGAGCCTGATGCGGGACTTGATCCCAGGACCCAGGACCCTGAATCGAAGGCAGATGCTCAATTACTGAACCACCCAGGCTCCCAAGACATCTGGAACTTTAAAGAAAGAGAATAGAATAGTGGAGAATGAACTACGGAGGATTTTGCAGAATTAATACAACTTGAGACTCCAGTTTCAGGAGCTCTACAAACCTGAGCAGGATAAATAAAAGAAACCAAGGCAATGAAACCTGGCCATGTGAAACTGAAGAATATTAGATAAGAGGGGATCTTAAAACCAGGCTTAGAGAAATGACGATGTCTGAAAATGAAAGCCAGTTTCACTGACAGCTCTTCTGTTGACAGCGGCAACAGAAGCCAGAAGAGAGTGGAATACTATCTGCAAAGTGCTGATAAGAAGCAGTACAACCTAGATTGTTTTATCTACTTGCATTCTTGGAGAAATGCGATGAGATACAGAAATTTTAGACAAAAACATAAATCATTTACTGACAATAAGACTCTACTATTGGAAACTTCAAAATGAAAATGGCAAAATGACAACAGGTGCAGCAGAGATTAAGGAGAAATAATAAAAAGATTTATACCAGTGACTTTGAAAAATTAAGTGAAATGGAAAGTTTGTAGGAAAAATATTTTAAAGTTTTCTAAAAAGATTTTATTTATTTATTTTGGGGAAGGAGGGGCAAAGAGGGAAGGAGAGAGAATCTCAAGTGACTCCCTGCTAAGCACAGAACCTAACATGGGGCTTGATCTCATGACCCTGAGATCATGACCTGAGCTGAATGATGCCAACTGACCCATCCAGACATCCCTAGAAAAAAAAATTTTTTTTAATTGACTCAGGAAGAAAGAAAATCTGAATTATTAGACACATTAAAGCAGTTGTTTGAAATTTTTTTGCAAAAATAGTAAACCCAGTGATTTTATGGATGAGTGTTCCCAAGCATTTACTAAACAGATAAACCCGATCTTAAGCAAATTCTTTCAGAAGATTGAAAAATAATATCTTAACATTAAAACCAGATAAGGACAGCCTGAGACATAAATGATCAGCTAATTACATCATAAATATAGATGCAAAAATTCTAAACAAAAATTATGAACCAACTGAGTCCAGCAATGAAAAAAAACAGTGCATCCTGAGCAAATTGAATTTATGCCAGCAATGAAAGGTTCAACATTAGAAAGTCTATTAAGGGATCCCTGGGTGGCGCAGCAGTTTAGTGCCTGCCTTTGGCCCAGGGCATGATCCTGAAGACCCGGATCGAATTCCATGTCGGGCTCCCGGTGCATGGAGCCTGCTTCTCCCTCTCCCTCTACTGTGTCTCTGCCTCTCTCTCTGTGTGTGTGTGTGACTATCATAAAAAAAAAAAAAAAGAATGAAAGTCTATTAATACGGGCCCCTGGGTGGCTCAGTCGGTTGGGCATCTGCCTTCGGTTCAGGTCATGACCCTGGAGTCCTGAGATCGATTGCCAGTCGGGTTCCCTACTCAGCAGGGAGCCTGCCTCTCCCTCTCTGCCCGCCGCTCGCCTGCTTGTGTGCATGTGCTTTCTCTCTCTCTCTCTCTCTCTCTCTCTCTCTCTCTCAAATATATAAAATCTTAAAAAAAAAGAAAGTATTAATGAAGTCTACCGCATTAACTGATTATAGGAGAAAAATACCATTTCAATAGGTTCAGGAATTCTACAACAATATAATTTTTTTTTGTAGAGCTCGTGACAAAAATGCAAGAGAATATACTTTTTGACTAAGAAGGTTATGTTCCCATCTCCTCCCTCCAAAAAAACCAAAGCCAATATAATAACCAACTGAAACACTCCAAGTATTTCATCTAAAAATCAGGAACAAGATTAATAATGGTTGTTGCCAATTCTATTTAGCAATATGCTAGCAGTCCTCACCAGTGCCATAAGATAAAAGGAAGAAAAATCGTTAAGATTAGTATGAAAGTAACAAAGTTGTCATTATTGTCCAATGATATAATTGCCTATACAGAAAATCCAAAATAATCTACAGATAAATTATGGGTATTTATAAATGACGTTAGCAAAATTGATAATTACAAGAAAAACTTCCAAAGTCAATTGAACAGCGTGTACATGAGCAACACACTGTAAATTAATGCAATTTATAAAACTATTATAATAGCAAATAAAGTTCCCTACCAAAAAAAAAATGCCTGAACTTTAAGAAGAAATTTTTGTCCTTACTGGAAGATTAAAGAATACCTAAGTAAGTGGGGCACTATAAAATATCCATGGAGTAGTAGGTAGAAAGTTGTAATAAAAAAAAGTCTCAGTTCGTTTACTGTCCTGGCTTTCCATCTTTTCCAGCCATGCTGCCTTGTTATTCTGAGTGATCTTCCATTTCATTGCCTATTCGTCGTGGACTGTAATCTACAGACTTTGAGGACACTTGTCAGTATCCTTTTCAGTAATATATTCACCATTTACCATCATCCATAGACTACCCGCTGAGTCCTAGAAAAATACCTCCAATACTCTCTCTCCTACAGACAACACTGCATTCACAGGTAACATTTCCAGCCCTTTCACAGCAACTGTGGTTTCTACCCATGTGAAGTCCCTATAAATGTTTTTCCATGCAAAACCAAATCAGAAATCACAGAAAACTCAAGAGTGAAAATCCACAACCTTTCCTCCTCATTCCATCATAGTCTGAGTACAGGGTGATCAACAATATTTGCTTGGCTTGAACATACTATTAAAATCCATGGTTTGGGGTGCCTGGGTGGCTCAGTTGGTTAAGTGACTCTTAATTTTGGCTCAGGTCATGATGTCAGGGTCATGATATGGAGCCTGGCATCAGGCTCTGTTCTCAGCACAGTGTCTACTTGAGATTCTCTCTCTCTGCCTCTCTCACTGCCCCCCTCCAAATAAATAAAATCTTTTTAAAACTCCGTGGGGGGCATCTGAGTGGCTCAGTCAGTTACAGGTCTGCCTTTGGCTCATGTCATGATCCCAGGGTCCTGGGATTGAGCCCCTAGTCAGACTCCCTGCTTGGTGGGGACTGTGCTTCTCCCTGTCCCTCTATCCCACCCCTCTCCCTGCTCGTACTCTGTCTCTTAAATTAAAAAAAAAAAAAAATATATATATATATATATATATATATATATATATATATATATATCTCCATGGTTTATACACCTTGATCCCAGAGAATAAGGTGAACAATTGTTTACCTTTTAAAACTTGTAATGCCTGGGTGGCTCAGTGATTGAGCATCTGCCTTTGGCTCAGGTCACAAGGATCAAGTCCCCCATTGGGTTCCCCGGAGGGAGGCTCCTTCTCCCTCTGCCTATGTCTCTGCCTCTCTGTGTCTCTCATGAGTAAATAAATAAAATCTTTTAAAAAAATAATAAATAAATGAAACAAAATTTGTAACTCCAACAAAATAGCCACATTTAAATATATAGCACATTAAAAGAGCATCAATACTGCTCTATTTATAGGCAAATTCATTGTATTTCTTTGACTTCTGTTTTTTCTTTTTTGGTGAAAAAAATTGGCATGAGCAAAAGGGAGGTAAAAGTAAATGGCAGAACAATAATTGTGGCAGATAGAAAAAAATGGCTCCCTAGAAGATATCCATGTCCTAAACCCTGAAACCTGTAAATGCTACCTTATATGGGTAAAAAGGGTGGAGTCAGCTCTGTTAAGTAATTAATGTTACTATTAATGTAAGACAACATACTAAAAAAGAAAGAAGGAAAAAGCATGTGATCATCAGACAGAAAAAAACATTTCACAAAATCCATTCCTGATACAAACTCCAAACAAACTAGGAATAGAAGGGAACTCATTCAATATGATGAAGAGCACCCATAGAAAAAATACTATTAAAATCATACTTAATGAGGAGAGACTGAATACTTTTTTTAGATCAGAAATAAGACTTCTATTCACATTGGACAGGAAGTTCAGGCCAGTGCAATTAGAAGGAAAAGACGTTCAAGTTGGAAATGATCAAGCAAAAATGAATGAATTTTTAAATGACATGATCATCTGTGTAGAAAATCTGATGAAATCTACAAAAAGCTACTAAGACTATTAAGAGATTAACAAAGTTGTAGGACACAAGATCAATATATGAAAATCAGTTGTATTTCTGTGTACTAGCAGTAGACACTCAGAAATTTAAACTTTTAAAGAACATTTCTAAAAGCACTGAAAATACGAATTACATAGGATAAATTTGACAAAAAAATGTGAAAAGTATACAACATTATAGAGAAAGCAGTCTTTAGAAGACCTAGATAAATGGAGAAATACACCTTTCCATGGCTCTTCAGACTTGATATTGTAAGATTTCATTTTTCCTCAAGCTGATCTCTAGATTCAATGTAGTCCCAATAAAAATTCCAACAGGTTTTTAAAACAAATTGACAAGCGGATCCCGAAATTCATATGGAAATTCAAAAGGAACATAGACTAGTTAAAAGAACTCTGAGAAGGGACAAAATGATAGATTAAAACTGTTTGGGAATAAAGGATCTATTTAATATTGTCATCTCCTCCTGGATTGGACAATGTCTCCTCCTTAACCTTTGAAGACAAAAGCCTGATAGCTCTGGACAATAACGCTGAGGTTTCAGAATGACACCCTACATGTCTTATCTCCTGAGGCAGTTGTGTTTTGTTTGGTCCGTATAATAATGCTTAAAGTATTTTTGAAATATTGTCAATGTTTAAAAAGGAAGATATCCTGTACAATTTTAGATTCCCATCTCCTCTTTAAAATTAAGATCTGGGGGCAGCCCAGGTGGCTCAGTGGCTTAGCGCTGCCTTCGGCCCGGGGCCTGATCCTGGAGACGTGGGATTGAGTCCCATGTCGGGCTCCATGTGTGGAGCCTGCTTCTCCCTCTGCCTGTGTCTCTGCCTTTCTCTGTCTCTCCTGAATAAATAAATAAATAAAATCTTTAAAAAAATAAAAATAAAATAAAGTTAAGATCTGCCATCATTGCTGCAACATTCCCACATGGCAACATCAGGCAAGAGTCAAGTAGTAACTCTGTCCTTTAGGCCGGGAGTAGGTGTGGTGTCTCTCCCCATCAGATAGGAGCCCCCAAACGTGGGGTAACCCTATCCAGCAGAAGCTGGGATGCCCAAGCAGTGAAAGAATTCACTGGAGGCAGAAGTTTATTCAATAAATTCAATAGAATACATCGCAAAGGAGCAGGGGGCAGGACAGCAAAGCAGAGACTGTCTGCCAGGAGGCAATGTGTGGGGTCTGTATCTAAAGGGGAACCGTGAAGTATGGGACATTTGAAATTTTCCCATCTTTCGTTGTGCCTGGTTGCATGTAACCCATTGGTCAGCTAGGGCTTATGGATGTTTCAAGATGGGTTGCCAGATGGGCCTATCTCTATTCAGCCTGGGGGTTGGGGTCACTTTGAGGCCTTTTGCTTTAATCAGGTTTCCATTTCTCAAGCCTGTTGTCTAAAAGTGGCCTCTACATTTGAAGTATATGCTTGCTGGTTTGCCCAAATCTTCTTTAGCTGACTTCACTCATTTCACATACTTGCCCGACTCTTCCATTGGCATTTGAGGTTATGACTCCTGCAAGAAGAGCACTTCCTATCTCTATGGTAGGCTGAATAATGGCTTCCCAAAGATATCCAAATCCAGTTCCCTGGGACTTATGAATGTGTCCTTATTTGACAAAAGAGACTTTGCAGATGTGATTAAATTAAGGATCTCGAGATGGTAAGATTATCCTGGATTATTTGGGGAAACCCTAAATGCAGTCACAATTGTTATAAGAAGGCAATGTGATCAAGCCACGAAGCAGGCTGAAAAGGCGATGTGCTGACAAGCCAGGAACCAAGGAATTAGGACAGCAGCCAGAGATGATGGAAAAAGCAAGCCAAAGAATAGTCCTGAGCCTCCGGAGGGAGCACGTCCTTGCTGACACCTTGATTTTAGCCCAGTGCATCTGATCTCAGACTTCTGACCTCCCAAATAAATGTGTGTTGTTCCAATCCACCAAGTTTGTAGCAATTTGTTACAGCCGTGGCAGGAAAGTAATAAACTGTCCCTGGATGGGAAAGTGAGTTTGGGAAGAGACTATTTTAATTAAATTTGCCCTCCTAGAGGCAAGAAGGAAACCTGCTGGTACCCCTCTTGCTAGAAGCCATAAAAGCAGAACACAAGTAAATTTTTAACAAACACCTGAGTGCTGTGATCCTTCCTATGACACTATTACATATTTCCTCATGTTACAGCATTTCACAGTTCAGGGGCTGTGTTTTTAACATCTTACCCCCCCCTCCCCCGCCAGGATTATGTTGAGTTTCCTGTGTAAAGGGATCAGTTATCTACCCACTGTCTGTGTAAATGAATAGAACATCAAACTGTCACTTTATAGGTTTACTACTATCTACTTTCCCTCCTCACTACTGGAACCTCTAAAGGGAGAAATTGATTAAATTACTGAGTTGCCAGCAAAGAATCCCAAATGGTCGTATGGTGAGGTAGATGGATGAGACACCAAAAGCTAGATTTGCCATTTATATTCATCTTCTCAAATCCTCCAGTGAGTCCAACAAAATATTAGTTTAGGAAAGTCAATTTGAGTCATAAAATTCAATTGTTTTCCCCTTCAGTTTAGAAGAGAGAAATAAACATTTGGAAGATTTAATTAGGAGGCCCAGAGAGAGAGCAAGAAAACCAAGTTAAGTTTTTCTTTTCTTTTTTTTTCTAAAAATGTCTTTAACTTTAAAACATAAGTATATAAATAATACAGTAAAAAACCTTTTTTTCCTTCTCTTAAGATGAACTGTATGCAAGTCCTTAGCATTTTGGCTAGCATTAGATAGTAGTTTGATAAATGATTTTTGTAGAATTTGAATTGGAAAGCCAGATTACCTATTCTCGTGGAATTTACAGTAACCTCTAAGGAAGATTCTATAAAGATTAGGAGCTAAGATTTTGTCTACAGCAAAAGAGCTTACATATGTATTTTATGACCATATTTTCTATACTAATGTTAAACTTATGGTCCTTTATTTCTGTAGATTTGGTGTTACAAGGTATATGCACAACCCTATGGGGTTAAGACCATAGTAAGATGTTAAAATGAGATCCTTCCTGGCCTAGTCCCTGGTGTTAATAAAACAGTTACCAGTTCTTCTTCTTCTTCTTCTTTTTTTTTTTTTTAACAGTTACCAGTTCTTAAAGTAAGAGTGAGTTTTCCCCCATGTGCAGCGTTTCTGAAAGAAAATTCAAAGAATCTGTTTCATGACTCGTATCTCTTGGCCAGATCCAATATATAAAAAGTGTGGAAAACAGGGAAGACTGGAGAGGAAATTTCTTTGAATCCATCATGTTGTGAATTCCCATCACCCCCAAGTAATTCTACCTCCTTTTTTTTTTTTTTTTCCGGTTTATTTGAGAGAGAGAGAGCTCACACAAGCAGGGGGAGGGGCAGCAGGAGAGCAAGAAGC